TACGTAACAGTGAAAGGTTCAAAGATCTTCCTTTAAGATCAGAAACAAGACAAAGATGGTAGCACTCAAGTACTAGCCAGAGCAATCAGGCAAGAAAAAGAAATAAAAGGCATCTAAACAGGGAAGGAGGAAGTAAAATTGTCTATGTCTGTAGTTGATACATTCTGATATAGAGAAAACCCTAAAAACTCCACAAAAAAACTACTATAATCATTGAATTAGTAAAGTTGTAGGACACAAAATCTACATACAGAAAATAGTTGTGTTTCCATACACTAATACTAAACCTCCGAAAAAGAAATTAAGAAATAACTTAAAAAAAAAAAAATAGTCAAGTAAACATAAGTGACTGCAAATCCTGTGAAATACCAACAGAGTGCACAAAAATGTGGGGGTGGTGAGGGAGCATATAGGAAGAGGCAGGAGGGAGAAAAGCATTGGAAAATAATTATCATGTCAGAGTAAATCTGCATGTTATCAGTCCACAGTATACAATAATCTCCAAGACTTCATAAAGTATTTATGTTTTACTATGCTAACCACTAAGAAGGTATAATTTTTGTCTAACCAAAGTTATTGAATACCCATAATTCATTAGGTATATAAACAACCTCTAAACATATAAAATTATCCTGGTGCAATCACCAAGGATGAATGTGAAATTTTGTGCTATTTATTTATTCCTTATAAGTAATTACATACTGAAATATCAATCAAGAAAAAAACTGATGCCCAATAAATTCGCCCTACCTCCATCCCGCTAAACATATCCTATATTCTAATAACTAAAATCAATATTTATTATTTTATTTTCAAAGCCCCATTCCAGCTTGTCAATATGGAATGATGGTGGGAATGGACAGTTAGCAGGTCAGACATGGATGCCGGCCCACGGTGAATAACTTGGCAATATTTGAAAAAATGAAAACAAGCCCCATATCTCAAAAAACATTTCACTTAGGGCCTTCCTGGTGCCACAGGTGTTAAGTCTCAGCTCTGTCCAGCTATTGCCAACCCCTGTAGCATGAGTTTGATTCCCAGCCAGGAAAGGAACCCACATGGCACAGCAGACCTCTCCCGTCTTGCCCGCTGCTCCCCTCAGCAGTGTATTTCAGTAGATCTGCCTGTTCTGCTCCCCATTGTCTCTGGTGAATCCTCCCACTCCCCTTCCCCCACAACTCTGGCCTAGGCCCCAAGTTTTGTATGCATAAATTAATTAATTTTTAAAAAATTTCCACTTCTCAATGTATGCTCTCAAGCAGTGCTATTCAAAGTTTGTTCCATGGGAACAGCAACAAAATTTGGTGGTTGTTTTTTTAAAGATTTATTTATTTATTTATACAAGAACCAGGGTACAGGCCAGATTCACGGGAGGGTGAGAGGATTCACCAGAGACAGAGCAGGGAACAGAACAGGCAGACTAACGAATTACACTGCTGAGGGGAGCAGCAGGCGAGACAGGAGAGGTCTGCCGCACCATGTGGGACCCTCGCAGGCTGACCGTGATGGAATTGGTGCTGCAGAAGCTGTGGACAGCTTCACAGTGCTGCACTCAACGGCCTGCGCCACCAGGGGAGGCCCAGGAAACAGTAACAGAATTTGAACCTATTTTTACTGGTCCATGACAAGAAAAACACAGAAATTCAGAGTAAGACTTTTTATAGATTTCTATGGCAATTTAACAGAGAAATTTTAATTTTTAAAAACCTGAGCTTTTACTTTATTTTTTTATCATTTTCCTAGTAATTCATTTTAATTGTACTTTAAAAAAATATCCACAACATATTAGAACCTGAGAAGCACGTCTCCAGGGCATATTGAGAATACTTGTACAAAAATGTTCATGTGGCAATCTTTTCACTGAAAACTAAAAATCTGTTTGCCCATCAAATGAAGAGTGGGATATTAAACAACTAAAAAGGAACAATATAATTTGCATGACTCAAAATGGATAAATAACAAATCACTGAGATTTGATTCCACATAAAAGTGATATAATCTAGAGGCACTAAATTCAAGATGGGACTCCTTCTAAGCGAAGAGCAAAATAAAAGTGAGAGAAGAGATATACATAATTACTTGTAATTTTTCTTTAAATTTTTTTTTTAAAAATCTATTATAAATAAGACAATTATGTTAAAATTTGACAAAGGCAGGTAGAGAATGTTGTTCATATCATTCTCTAAAACCTGCCTGTTTATAAGCAATATTTCCTTCAGAAACATGAGATAAAAAAGGTGAAAAATTATAATAAATTCAAAAAAAGGGAAAGAATAACAGTAACTATAACAGAGTAACGAAAGGAATACAATTCAGATTTGGGGATTAGGGAAGATTTCTCTGACAAAGTGACATTTACAAAGATGTGACAGATCTCTAAAAGTGGGGGAGATGTCCAAACAGAAAGTGTAAATATCCTGAGTTTAAGTGAAAAGTGTGCAGGGCAGAATGTACCCTCCGCGGCTATAGAAACTATTAAGGATTTTAAAACACAGATGAAACAAGAAACATATATGTGTTTTAATAAAATCTCTCTGGCCTCTGGCTTTATAAAGATTAGAGGGGGTAAAACAGTGGACTCAGAGAGGTTGCTGCCAGGGTCCACATAAGAGATGATGGTCAGATTCATTTGGTGACAATGTAAACAGAATAATGAGATGTGATGAAGTTATACTTTCATCAAAGACTGACAGGACTTAGTGACAGATGATCAGCTGAAGGAAGAGAGGTAGAGAGGGGGGCAAAATGTTTAAAGAAAAAAAAGGACAAAAAGCCCATAAGATCAGATTACTTTGTTAGAGGTAAATTTGAAATTTAATCTTAAATTTCTTAATTACCCTAACAATGTACTGGCAAATTACTAAATTTATGGAGTCTATAATAGGAAAACTAATAGTTGAGAAGAACAGCTGCTCCTGGTAGAAAAATTTAATAAAAATATCTTCCGATAACACTACTACCACTTCTCTTTATCCTATTTCACAGAAAAAGTTAAATATACATATTGCGATTTCTGAAATAATTAATGAATGAACAGAAACAGAAAGAGTTTAGGACAACCTTTTCAAAAGGAAGGAAGAAACGGGAAAATAGAAACTATAAAATGATTTATTTAAATCTGAATATATCAATAATTATCAAATATTAAATATAAGTGAGGGCCCTCCCCCCACCCAGTGGCGCAGACTTGAGCGCTGGGCTGCAAGGCTGCCCACCGCCTCTGCAGCACCGGTTCGATCCTCAGCCAGCGGTGAGGGTCCCACATGGCGTGCAGACCTCTCCTGCCGTGCCCACTGCTCCCCTCAGCAGTGTATTTTGTCAGTCTGCCTGTTCTGTTCCCCGCTCTGGCTCTGGTTAATTCTCTCACCCTCCCGCACTTCTGACTGTTCCCAGTGCTTGTATAAATAAATAAATAAATCCTAAATAAACAAATGAATAAATAAATAAATATAAGTGAACTACATGTTCAAATTACAAATACTGATAGACTGACAAAAGAGACACTAAGGGCCCAGCTATGAGCTGGCACACACGAGGTAGGGTGGTTTGGAAATGACCCAGCATGTCCAGAGCTGAGATTTCTAATAACCTTTCTACCTTCCTCCTATATTAGGATTATGCTCTTAGTGTATACTGTGGGGAGGTGCCTGTCCCTCTGGGACCCAGCTGAAGGCCTGGGGTTGGGGGCTGAGGATCAACTTGTGTCCAGGGATCAACTTGTTACCAAAATTAAATTAACAAATGGGGTAATGTGGCAAATATAAGTATATTGGGAATAATGGAAGCCAGGTTTCTTACTTTTTTGGAGGAAGGAATTACAAATATGGAAGAAATCTGGTGTTAATGCTGCAGAAATGGAATGGAATTGGAGGTATTGATATTAACCCATTTTTTATGAAAATCTATTTTTTAGATGATGATAGACAAACAGATAAATGAAAGTTTAACATTATCATTATAAATGAAAGAACAGAAGTTAAGGGCCTCCCTAGTGGCTTAGTGGCTTAGGGGTTATGTCTCACCGCTATCACCATTGCTGCCTGAGTACCTGAGTTGGATCCACAGCCAGGGAACTAACCCATATATAGTGTAGCAGACCTCTCCTGTCTTGCCTGCTGCTCCCCTTAGCAGTGTATTTCAGTAGATACACCTGTTCTGCTCCCTACTCTGTCTCTGGCGAATCTTCTCACCATCCCTACCACTGGTCTGCACCCCAGTTCTTCTATGCATAAATAAATAAAACTTTTGAAAAAAGAAAAGGGAGGGAAGAAGAGGCATACATATGTGATACATTATATAAGACTATGAATATGAAAAAATTTTCAAGATGTTAATTTTATATTCGGTGGGGAAAGGGAACAGAGGGATAGGATGAAGATCATACATGTATACTAAGGATATTGACAGCATTATTTCAAAACAAAGACGGACAGTGTTCTTTACTTCTTAACATGTATTGTGCCATGCTCTCACCATGGCACCTTGAGATTTAGGTTTGTGTTAAGTTTTAACATGACCTAACAATCCATTTATATTGAAAATTTAACTATTTCTACTAACTACCTGGTGTGAGTCAGGCAGAGCGTGTCATTCTTATTTGCTGTAAATAGACAATGCTCAGCCATAACTGTTCTAATACAAACATACTTGTTCCTCAAAGAAAAGCCTCCTCTTCGTGAACATTCATTCTTTTAATCTCAACAAATGTATTTTTACCCTAAGGAAAAATAACACTGAAAGAGATAAAACAATCATCTTTTTGCCAAAGAAGTCAACTGAAACATGACTAATGAAGCAATTAATAAAGTGCTAAGAGAAGTGTTACCATCACATCTATCTAGACTGGTACAGAAAGGTTTTTAAGGATAGGCTGCTAAGAGAGTAACAACATAAGATAAACTTCCTTAGACGCTCAGCCAAATTAAGGACCTTTTTATTTTAACTTTCTCTTAACTATGTACTATAGATTATATGAAAATAAAATGACTACTTTAACTTACCATTCCACTGGAATTATTTATTCCATTCATATTAATTTTGGTTACAAATCTAACTGATGGAGGAGCTTCTGGGTATTTAGGTCCACATTCTACTTTCAGGCTATATATTCTGTTTTCATAATTTGTCTGGAAGGCAAAAAAATAATAACATTCAACTAATAACAAAGGAAAAGTACAACAGAAAAAATCGATGTATGTATGATCAAGAATTTACTTTCCTGCATTTATATTTATCTAACCTATACTGTATGGCTAGAAAAAAAAATGCAGTAATCTTACTTAAAAGTAGGTTTTATAAAATTAAAATTAGTCTACAAAAGTAACATCAAAATGTTCAGAACTTGCTTTTTGTGGTACAAACAATGCCTACAAAAATCAAAAGGAAAAAATCAAACCTAATTTCTAATTTAGATATTACTAAAAAAGTTTACATCATAGGGGAAGTTAAGTACTTGACTGAGGCACATATATATATAAAGGTTCCCATCTGTACAGGACAATTCTGTTTAATCCTATTGTTCCAGTATTAATTATTAACAATACTTTTCTTTCTCAAAAGGATCCAGTTAGACAATAAATTCTATGGTTACCCAATATACAACAATCAATAAATTCTAATAAATAAAATAACACCATATTTTACCATCTTACAGCAATAAAATATAATTACTTCATTTCTCTATTAATATTTGCACTAGTATTTCACTTTGTGTCTTCTCAATCCATTATCCGAATTGAGAGACACAAGAGCAAATTTCATGTTTTCACCTCATTTTAAAATAGCTTCTTAATTGAGAAGTTTAACAGTAAGTACCATATTGATAAAAGAGACATTTTAAAGCTACAAGAGTTAATGCTGCTAAATTAACAGGGATTATTTTCATGCCTATACTTAACTTTTCTTTTCCCTTATGCTTTGCTTATATGGCTCAGCATACAATTAAAAGAGGGAAGTAAAAAAAATAATGACAGTGACAATTTAATATCAGCTCCTATATAAATCCGGGGTTGGGGGGGAAGCTAACTATATAAATTTCACTTGGCCAAACTGATCCAGAATTTCCTTTCCTTAAGTAATGAGTGTTACTCTAAGTGGAAGTAAGATCTGGGCTATTAAACTACTGTAATTTAATATGTGTACAATAACCTGGTACAAGTATAATTAAATATCTTAATATTCAAAAAAAGCTGTATGAAATGTATCCAAGTTTAATAGCCAACATGTATTAACTATAAGCCTAGCACTTTGGATATGTATAAGGACTGTGAGCAGACAGATCTCAAAGAAATGATCTAGTCTGTGGTTCTCCACTCTGGATGCACATAAATCTCTAAAATGTTTTGCATTCAAAAAATAATAGTTCCCCCAAAATTCCATAATATTAAAAATACTCAAAGTATGTGAAAATAACTAGAACTCTCCTACTTTGCCGGGTATAGAAAATGGTATAACCATTTTGGAAACAATCTGTTATTTTCTTATAAAAAGATAAATAAGCATATACCTACCCTTTGTAGCAATTCCAATCCTAGGCATTTTACCCAAGAGAAATGCAAAAAAAAAAACACCTCTGTTCACAAAGACTTATAAAGAAGGCTCATACCAACTTATAATAGCCAGAAAGTAGAACAAATCCAAAAGTGAGACCTGATAAACACATTCTGATATACACATACTGTAAAGTACTACTCAATAGTGAAAAGATGTAGTAGTTCTACCTGGTTCAACACAGCGAAATTTCTGAGACATTATACTGAGCCAAAAGAGTGCACACTGCATGATTCTACCTCCACAAAGTTCCACAACAGGTGAGACTACTCTAGGGTGCAGGAAGCAGTGGTGGGATGGTGGTGAGGACAGAAAGAGGCACAGGAACTTTCTGCAGTGACAAATGTTCTATATCTTTTCAAGGTTATGGGTAACAAGATACATTTATTAGCACTCACAGACCTGTGTATTTCACTGGACATAAATTATACTTTAAGATTTAAAAAGCCTCTAAATTAATCTGTTTATCTAATCCAAAACTTAGAGTGAACATCATCCTAACTTTTGATACCTTGAATTTATTTTATCACCTCTAAACTTCAGAAGCCAATTATTTCTGTTATCAAACAAAAGAGCAAAATAAAAGAGAAGAGAGTAGTAAAAGGAATAATATTTACCATGCACTATAGTCAGGTACCTTACTAGTGTGTATTAATCATTTAATTCTCAAAATTTCTGAAGATTGGGATAGTTCCTCCAAGGTAACTGAGAAAAGTCATTAATCCTTATGCTAAAACATTGCTTCAGAAAATATAATCATAAACATATAGGGAATAACAAAATGCTAATTATATAGATCCAAACAAATACTGGAATAACATTAAAAAATAAGGACCTTAATAATATATAAAACAAAAACAATTAAACAAGCAACAGGATATTAAGTAAGAAGCTTCCTATTTTCCTGGTTGGATACAGATACATAAATACAGGGGCAAATGACCTTTGCAATGTACTTCCTCTTCCTGACCCTCCTGGCATCCAAAGAAAGTGAACAGGGGCTCAAAAATTGCATGCCATAGAAGAATCTAGTTAAAGAGAAGCCAAGCATGACCTTTGCAGCATCTTGCCCAAGTGGCCCATGGAGAACAGCTCCCCTCTCCACTGAAATTAACAGCCTTCATCCCCAACTGGGCGCAGCCTGGACAACTTTCTATAGTTGACACCAGGAAAGGTAGCTATCAACAGCTTGGGGAGTTCTATTAGTTATCAAACTGGGTGAGAGTTCAAGTACCAGCTACTCTTCCACATCTGTGAACTGTACTGTGTAACAGCCCACAAAATAGATGATGAACTCATACAGAGGTACCAAAACATTCTTAAAGTTTAAAGTCCCACCGGATGTAGTGGCTGGAGAAAATCCAAATCTAAATAATTTCAAATTTATAGTACACCAAGTTCAGACTGTCAAATCTTTAAACTATTCATTAATTAAGAATGTTGGTAAGTTATAAGCACTTTTTTTTAACCAAACATGCCATGGTAATAATGTCCACAGGCAATGAAAATTCGAGGTTTTCGTTAAAAATACCAAGTTATGAAACCATCAAGAATTTTAACCTTATATTTTTTCCTTCCTCAAATGTCTTACAGAAAAATTAGAGCAGGAAAGGGAAGAGACAGATTATGAGTTAGTAGAATGCACAAAATTTGCAAAGGAATATCAGGAAATATAAAACATACATTAATTCTCTAAAATTAACACTGCTAATTACCTGATGTATTAGTCTTTTGTGATCAAGAGGAAATCTAAACTCTACCAAACAGCAAAAAGGTTGAAATGTTCTCAGCACAAGGTAGCAAACAGTATACAATGAAACCAAAGACTTAAAAACAACCTTCAAATTTGCGTTCTTTCCATCAAGTAAAAAAAATTGCATTCTTTCCATCAAGTAAAAAAAACATATTTCAAAGACTCAATGCATGGAATGGAGTAAATGGGACCTATAAGGAATGCAACAGAAAAAAAAAAATTCCCAAAACTGAAAAAGATTTTTGAGTAAAAATAAAATATCATTTAACTTGAAAAAGATTCTAAGAATAAAGCACATTGGGCCTGTTACCAACAACACTAGAAAATATGTAGAATCACAGATTTTTCAATATATTTTATAGATGAAAAAACTTAGGCTTATACCATTTATATAGCAAGTCAAATATCAGGGCAAATAGCAACATGTTCTCACTACAAACCCATTTAGAAACTCTTGGTTACACACAAGTGGGTTAATAATATTTGATGTCAAAATAAGCTGTCTGCTCTTCCCAAGTACTGCCTCCATTGCCTCAGCTTTCCTCCCCTCTATAATATTCTCCATCCCCATAATATCACTTTCTGAAATCCTACCAATCAGTCCTTCAAGGTTAATTCCAAAGGCCAATTTCTTCCACTGCTCAGCCTTCCTCTATTATTCCAGCTAAAAGAAACATATTCTAAAGTCCCTAGTGAACTTTCTCTGCTATATTTAGAATCTGTCATTTGTAACTTTTCTCCTACTAAACTGCAAATGTCTTGATGGCAATGACCATATCAATCTTTCCCAACAATCCTCCAGAAAAAAAAAAAATCAAGCATTATCTCTCGCACATGGAAATATCAATAATGTATATAAGAGAATTATCTCAGAAATGCTTTACTTTAACAGCAATATTATGAAAGAAAATGCTTACTCTAAAGTGACAATAAATATTAGAAAAAATGTATAATTTATAGCACTGACCCTTGGTGGCCCAATAATCATGCCTGTCCACCTTGTAAGTGTCATATCTTCATCATCTTCAAGGCCCCAGCTAACCGTACCATCGCCCACTCCTTTTTGTCCTTCTTCAAGTTCTTCCAACAAGCGAAAATTACGAGGAACTTTAACTCCTATACAAAAAAATGTCAATGTCAATGTAAAAAAAGCTCATAACTGTAAGAGCTACACATATTCAAATTCAACTTTTTCCAAATTAACCTTTGCAAACCACTTCCCAAAAAAAACAAAATTCCCCTTTAAAAGCATTCTGCCCCAGAAAATGCTGAACGTAATAATCTATGAAAATGAAATCACTAAAGAAAGCACTAATCACTTTTATACTGACATAAATCAATCATAAGGAAATCATGAAAAGTGAGTATTTTCCACAATTGAATTTCCATTCCTATCCAAGAACAATATGCATCAAATAAATGGGCATGACCAGAAAGTTCACAAAGTTATATTTCATTAATATACACACTCTAATCCTTTTTAAAGAATAAAGTTCCATTTTTAAAAAATACATTGAAAGGTACTATTTTCTAGAAGGCTGAGCAGTACCACCCACAGTGCCCAGTCAGTATCTTCTCTTGTTCCAATCACTACCAATGGAACACTCTCCCATGTCAGCACCTATACTTAATCATTACCTAGGGAGTACTAGATTTGAAAACAGATTTCCTTATGAATATAACAGTTTTCCAGGACATGCCTTTTACCTCCTTGCCCACCTAAATATTTTCACAATTTACTAACCTTTCTCATCCCTCCATTTCTACCCCATCACTCCGCTATTTTTAAAATCGTAACACAGAAGCATTCCTCTGTACCTAGAATCTCCTAGTCTTTCACAGCTACCAAACCTCAATCTCATTAAACCTGGTCTTTGCCACCATCTTGACCTCCAATGCCTGGAATTCAACCCAATCCAATCTTCCAACTGATCACAACCTTTCCTAGAGTTACTGGCATGGTGTCTCCAAAGGAAAGGATCTACAGTCCTCCGTGTTTTCAACAGCAGCTAACATCAATCACCCTACAGTCCCACTACATGATCCTGAAAAAATTTGGTTAGACACCCTCAGAATCTGCTCTGGCTCTGGTGCATATTCTCTCTCTCTCTCTCTCTCTCTCTCTCTCTCTCACACACACACACACACACACACACACAATTATCAGGCATAAAGTGACGTTTCCTTTAAAGCCTGTTATTTGGTTTAACCACCCTCTTGCAGAAGCCTTTTTCACTTACTAACACATAGTAACCTTTCCATACATAACGAAAAGTAGTTTTCCACTTTATAAACTGTGCTTCATTAAAAAAAAGTTTGAAAATCATAGGCAACAGAAAATTGAACTCATAAATCACAAGAGTAATTGTTATTACAACTATTATTATTAACAGCCACTGTTTAGATTATCTAGTATATTAGCTTTAAATAAGGTATTCCATTTTATTCTAAAAGCATCCATTTTACAGCTGTGGATACGGATGTCTGAAGGTCACAGTTATATGTGGCAGATACAGTATTAAAATTCAGGTTCTAGCAGAGAGGGAGGAGGGGAAAGGCAGTGTCAGAGAAGATTCCCGGCTGTGCTACTGAAAGAATAACCTAGGGTATTCCAGGCATGCACTGGACTCAAGAGAATCCTGTGATGAAACAAAGGATTCACCTCCTGGATATCAAACCAATACTGACCACATGTGACAGAAGAGATGCTAAAATACTATGGGCAAAGAGGTGAAACTATGAAAAACTAGGGGACAAATGTCTTATTAGTGAGCCTTCACCAGTGTGCTTACAACTGAAACTACAGGACATGATGCAGGCTCAGGGAGCAAAAGCAAGTTTACTTACAAAGGGGACAGAAAGAGAGAGATAAAGAAATTGGAATAAAGGAAAGACTTAGAGGCAGGGCAACCACCAGGCAGCAGTCTTATACAGATACAAAGGTCTTGAAAATCAAAGGAGTGCAAAGGTCTCTGCAAAAGTCTGTGAATATCTCAAATGTCGAAGGTTTTTTCAGAGTTGGCACCACAACAGTTAGCAATGGCAATCCAAATGCAGAGCCAGGCAGCACCAAACACTGGACCAGTCAATGCCAGAGGCAACAGCACCAGAGGCTGTTGACAGACATGCGAGAGAGGCAGGGACAAGTGTTTTAGCTCTTACAGATGCTTGGCCTAACCCAACAGCAAACATCTCTTTTAGAAACACCAAGCAGAGGCCAATGGTGTCATTCCGCAGGTGATGTCAGAGGCAGGGTAAGAGGTCAGATATTCAAAGAAACAGTGCCAGAAGACAGGGAGTAGCATTTCAACTATGTAAAGATCTTTCCAGGAGAGAGCTGGACAAATGTCAACTGAAGCTGGCCCAAACTTGGCCTATATCCACCTCAGGGTATCTGTTTTTCAAACTTGATTGGTCCATTTTATTTGATTGGCACCAACAGAGGCTTGAACCTGGGGCCAATGGGACCTCCAATCAGACTGACTCATTTTCAATCCCATGCTAGTTTCACAACTGCCTGAAACTGCACCAGCACTTCCAACCTGTCCTATACTGAGGTTGGGCTTCAAAACTGATCACCAGGGTTCCTTTGTCATTAGTACAAGCTTGAACCCAACTGGTGCCCAAAGGCATTCCAATCAGATTGATTCATTTTCAGTCACACACTGGTTTCAAAACTGAAACTGAAGCTGCACCAATGTATCTGACCTAATATATACCGAGGCTGGGTTTTAAAATTGAACAGGAGCGAGAGGGTGAGGGGCTGGTAGGGGTGCTCCTCTGACAGAGTGAATGGGAAGACTAACGGCTCTCCTTCAGCTATAAGGAGTAAAGGCCTTCTAACACAAAGAGAATTTGAAGGAGTGTGCAAATACTAGATCCCTCACAAGAAATGCTGAAAGGAGCTCTTGTATCTAAATTGAAGAGAAAAACATCCAAAAGGTGCTGAACAAGGAAACAGAGTCATAATATTAAAGACAAAATAGCAATAGCAGACCTTCATATGTCAATAATTACCCTAAATGTAAATGCACTGAACTCACCAATCAAGAGGAACAGAGTGACTCGTTGGATCAGAAAATAGAATCCAACTTTCTGCTGTCTCCAGGAAACACACCTGAGTCACAAAGATAAACACAGGCTCAGATTAAGGGTTGGAAAACAAGCCTACAAGTAAATGGGACCCAAAGGAAGGCAAAGACAGCCATAGTCCTAACAGACAAAATAAATCTCCAGCTAAAAAGAAGTAACAAGAGACAGGGATGAACACTATATAATGATTAAGGGAAATACACAAGGAAGACATAACACTCATCAATATATACTCCCAAAATGAAGGAGCATAAAAATATATACAGCAATTACTATCAAATCTGAAAATAGATTTTGGAAAAAGATTAGTGGTTGGGATGTCAACACCCTACTTTCACCAATGGACAGAGCAACCAAAGAGAAATAAACACAGACACAAGAGCCTCAAACAAAGAATTATGCCATATGGGCTTAGAAGATTTTTATAAGGCACTGCACCACAAAAAAGCTAAGTACACTTTCTTCTCAAATGCATGTGGGCCATTCTGCCATATACTGGGTCACAAAACAAGTATCAATAAACACATGAAAACTGAAATCAAACCAAACATCTTCTCTGACCACAATAGTATCAAGGTGGAAAACAACCATAAAAAGAAAACATGGAAAAATTCTAACGTGGACTGAAAAGCACACTAATGAATGACTATTGGATTAATGAGGAAATGAAAGAAAAATTTAAAAAATACCTCAAGACAAATGAAAATGAGAACACAACCTACCAGAACCTCTGGGATGCAGCAACAGCAGTTCAAAGTGGGAAGTGTATATATACAGGTCAACATCAAAAAACAAAAAAGATCAAATAAATAATCTTATCTCTCACCTTAAGAAATAAAAAAAAAAAAAAAAAAGATGATGGCACCACATTCCCAGAATTCAAACTATATTACAAAACTACAATAATCAAAACAGTAAGGTACTGAAACAAAAACCAGCATGTAGACCAATCAAATAGAATTCAGAGGCCAAAAATAAACCCACAACTATGACAGTTAATCCACTACAAAGTAGCAACTGGAGAAAGGAAAGCTTCTAAAAAAATGTTGCTGGGAAAAAGGACACATGCAAAACACTCAAACAAGCCCACTATCTCAAACCACAAACGAAAATTAACCCAAATTGAATAAAAGACTTGGAATGTAAGACCTGAAACTAACAAAAAAACAGAGAACAGAGGCCTCCCTGGTGGCTCAAGGGGTTAAGACACAGCCTATGAAGCTGTCCACAGCTACTGCAGCACAAGTTTGATCCCTGGCCAGCCAGGGAGCAACCAACATGGCCCAGCAGACCTGTCCTGACTCGCCCGCTGCTCCCCTCAGCAGTGTGTTTCAGTCAATCCGCCTGTTCCGTCCCCTGCTCTGTCTCTGGTGAATCCTCTTACCCCCAAACCTCTGGCCTGTGCCCCAGCTCTTGTATGCATAAATAAATAAATCTTAAAAACAGAAAACATTCATAACGAGGCTTCAGAAATGCCTTTATGGATTAGTCTCCAATTATCAAGAAAAGCAAAAGCTAGTATTTACAACTGGGACTACATCAAACTAACAAATTTCTGCATAGTGAAAGAAACTATCACTAAAACAAAGATATCCTGCTAAATGGGAGAAAATATTTGACACAATAATATCCAAGAGAGGACTAATATCTAAGATCTACAGAGAACACATACAACTCAACAAAAGGAAAACAACCCAAATGGGCAGAAGAGCCAAATAGGCACTTCTCCAAAGAAAACACACAGATGGCTAACAGGCACACTAAAAAAGTGCTTACCATTACTTATCATTAGGGAAATGTGAATCAAAACTACAATGAGATACCACCTGACAACTGTGAGAATGGTTCACCTCAAAAAGACCAGAAACAAGTGTTGGCAAAGATGTAGAGAAAGAGGAATTGTGGTGGTGGCAATGTAGATTGGTTCCATCCTATGGAAAACAGCAGTTTTCTCAAAATATAAATAGATCTGGGGCCCCCCAGTGGCCTAGGTGTTAAGTGTCAGTTTTAGTACTGAGACAGAC